AGTAGAAAGAGAAATAATAAAAAAGGTAATTTTTTTATAATGGTAAGTGGAGACGTAGGAGGTTACACATCAGGAAGCTAGTGGGGCACGTGTCAACATCTGACGGAGGAAAGTGAAAGATCATTATTCATGTCATTGGAAGTTGGTATATAATAATGGTAAAACTGTCGCACGCATGTCTTGATGAGACGTTTTGGAAAAAGGCAGTCATGATTAACTATGACGTCAGGAAATGAAAGGTTGCTAGTCAAAATCTGGTGATTACAAAAAATAGCCATTTCTGCATTTATTCGAAATGGACATTTATTGGGGGCAATTTGTTAGCTGAAGATTTCGACATTTGATAAAAATATGAAAGTTGATTTGAGAGGATCATGTTTTAAAAATAACATGAAAATCGACCTTATAAGGTTATTTTATAAAGCTTATTTTTTATGATTCGACATGTCGAAGGGAAACTTAAAGTGAAAATAATATTTCAAGATATGTGAAGTACTTCGACAGTCACATTTGTTGAATTCAAAGTTGAATTCAAAAAAGCTTCGAGCAGGAAGTTTAAGTTTCAAACTAATTCATTTCGCCAGAAAGACACGTGGAAATTCCAGAATGTCTGCATGTAAGAGGTGTTGAACGTGGCGTAATCTCATAGAAAGACCGTTAGGATCGAATTAGTATAAATAAGAGTCTTAGATGTTAGGTTTGAGGGTGTTCACATCTTTGTACAATATACTCAAATACTCAAAGTACAAGTGTTAGAGAAACGAGTTAGTGAGACATGTACGTATGATGCACCATATTTACATTCGAAAGTTATTTACTTTTAATGAAATTTCTTCATGTCATTTATATTCTTTACGATTTACAGTCTAGAATAGTTTCTATTTTATTGTTATTATAAGAACACTTTGTTTGATATCAAAGTGATTCTCTTCGTCTAAAGAAGTTATCATCAAAACCTTTTTTCCTAAAAACTAGAACACAATAGTCCTCAGATCAATCTGATCGATCTCGCAAGTAATTGAATCTTCTTTTAGAGATTTAGAAGATCAGCAGTTGTTTACCAAATTACGAAGTAAACAGAAGGCAATTGATGTCAAGTGGGTATACAAGGTGAAAATGAATTCCAAAGTGGGAGTAACTTGACACAAATCAAGGCTTGTGGCGAAAGGTGTACACGCTGCATAAAGCCCTGTATGGATTGACACAAGCTCCAAGAGCTTGGAATAATAAAATTGATAGTTTCCTAAGGGAGAAGGAATTTATAAAGTGCACAATTGAGCATGGAGTATATGTAAGAAGAAGCAATAGTGAATTTCTTATACTATGTCTCTATGTCGATGATTTGTTGATAACATGTAGCTTCAAAAGTGAGATTGAAGACTTCAAAGGTGATCTCAACAAGGAATTTGAAATGTCTGATCTGAGTGAGATTTCATATTTCCTTGGTATCGAATTCTACAAGAGCAGTAGAGGTTTGATGATGCATCAGAGAAGATATGCAGGAGAAATTCTCAAGAGATTTAAGATGGAAGAATGCAACTCAATTTCGACACCTGGAGAACCAATACTACAACTGTCGAAAGATGCAGATGAAGATGATGTCGACCCAACCTAATACAGAAGACTCATTGGGTCATTGAGATACCTTTGTCATACAAGGCATGACTTAGCATATAGTGTAGGTATATTAAGTAAATTCATGCAGAAGTCAAAGGTATCACATCTAGCAGAGGTGAAAAGGATACTAAGGTATCTCAAAGGAACTCTCGACTATGGCATTTTGTTTCCTGCAAATGATAAAAGAAAAGAATACAAGTTAGTGGGATACAATGATTCAAGTTGGTGTAGTGATGCTGAAGATCGAAAATCAACAGCAGGATATGTGTTTTTGTTAGGTGGTGCACCAGTTGCTTGGAGTTCAAGAAAGGAACCAATAATGGTATTATCATCATGCGAAGTAGAACACATGATTGCTTCTCTTTATGCATGTCAAGCAACTTGGATGGTGAACTTGGTCGAAGAGATAACAGGGAAAGATCATGGAGCAATTACCATGAAGATCAACAAAATGTCAGCTATCAATCTGGCAAAGAACCCGATAGCACATGGTCAAAGCAAGCACATCGAAATTAGGTTCCACTATCTTCGAGAGCATGTATCAGATGAGAAGATGAATTTGGAACACTGCAGAACTGAGAATCAAATTGCAGACATCATGACAAAGGGAGTGCATGTCGAAGTATTCTGAAGATTAAGAACCATGATAAATATAGATGGTTTAGACACAATGAATTAGGTGATGTGTTAAATTGTAATTCGATTGTGTCAAAACAGTGTGTGTGTGTCGAAGGGAGGTTGTCCAGTCGAAGAGCTTGTGGATTGAAGCAAGCTACACACATATTTGATTGGTTTTAGATTTTGATAAATTTGATTTAGATCTAAAATAGATAGATTTAATTTAGTACCGAAATAAGTATTTTGGGATTTTATAGTTTTGGGCTTTGGCTTAGGAGCAAGCTAACCTAAATCTATAAATAGAGGGAGTAACCCTTAATTTTGTAATAAAGTTAATTAATTGTAATCACAAAATTTAGAGTTGCAAGTGATTAATAAAGTTTTCCACAGTTTGTAGGCACAAAGAAACTCTGTCAAAAATAATTGTCTTATTTATTTTCTTTTCTTTTCTCACAATTCATTATTATTGTGTGGTGATATCAATCTTGTTCATCAAGATTGATAGAAATTCATCATAAATATTTGGTGGATTTCCAGCATCTGGTATCGAGAGGTTGGTTAATCGATTCAAGGGAAGTTTCGATCAAGAACAATTGAGGAAGAAGAAGAATTCACGATGACGAGTTATGGGAATGAAAATCATCTAGAAACTCTACCAATTCAGAAAGTAGACAACTATGAGAGTTGGTACATTATACTTTCTATGCAGATGTCGAACATGTCAATGCAGCTGAAGCATTAAAGGATTCAAAGTGGGTGAAAGCAATGAACAAAGAAGTGAAGTCTGTCGAAGACAATAACACTTGGTCATTTGTCGAATTTCCTCAAGGCAAAAAGGCAATTGATGTCAAGTGGGTATACAAAGTGAAAATGAATTCCAAAGGGGAAGTAACTCGACACAAAGCAAGGCTTGTGGTGAGAGGTGTACAGACTGCATAAAGCCCTGTATGGATTGAAATAAGCTCCAAGAGCTTGTAATAAGAAAATTGATAGTTTCCTAAGGGAGAAGGGATTTGTGAAGTGCACAACTGAACATGGAGTATATGTAAGAAGAAGCAATAGTGAATTGCTTATACTAGGTCTCTATATCGATGATTTGTTGATAACAGGTAGTTGTAAAAGTGATATCGAAGACTTCAAAGGCGACTCAACAAGAAATTCGAAATGTCTGATCTGAGTGAGATTTCATATTTCCTTGGCATCGAATTCTACAAGAGCAGTAGAGGTTTGATGATGCATCAAAGAAGATATGCAGGAGAAATTCTCAAGAGATTTGAGATGGAAGAATGCAACTCAACTTCGACATATGTAGAACCAAGACTGCAACTGTCAAAAGATGTAGATGAAGATGATGTCGACCCAACCCAATACAGAAGACTTATTAGGTCATTGAGATATCTTTGTCATGCAATGCCTGACTTAGCATATAATGTAGTTATAGTAAGTAGATTCATGCAGAAGCCAAAGGTATCACATCTAGCAGCAGTGAAGAGGATACTAAGGCATCTCAAAGGAACTCTCGACTATGGAATTTTATTTCCTGCAGCTGATAAAAGAAAAGAATGCAAGTTAGTGAGATACACTGATTCAAGTCGGTGCAATGATGCTAAAGATCGAAAATCAACAACAATATATGTGTTTATGTTAGGTGGTGCACCAGTTGATTGAAGTTCAAGAAAGGAACCAATAATGTCATTATCATTATGCAAAGCAGAATACATAACTGCTTCTCTTTGTGCATGTCAAGCAACTTGGATGGTGAACTTGGTCGAAGAATTAACAGGAAAAGATCATGGAGTAATTACCATGAAGATCGACAACATGTCAGCTATCAATCAGGCGTAGAACCCGATAGCACATGGTCGAAGCAAGCACATCGAAATGAGGTTCCACTATCTTCGAGAGCAGGTAGTAGATGAGAAGATGAATTTAAAACACTGCAGAACTTAGAATCAGATTACATACATCATGACGAAGGGAGTGCATGTCGAAGTATTTAGAAGATTAAGAACTACAATGAATATAGATAATTTAGACACAATGAATTAGGTGGTGTGTTAAATTGTAATTCGATTGTGTCGAAACAGTGTGTGTCGAAGGGAGGTTGCCCATGCGAAGAGCTTGTGGATCAAAGCAAGCTACACACAGATTTGATTGGTTTTAGATTTAGATATATTTGTTTTAGATCTAAAATAAATAGATTTGGTTTAATACCAAAATATATATTTTGGGTTTTTATAGTTTTGAACTTAGGCTTAGGAGCAAGCTAACCTAAATATATAAATAGAGGGAGTAACCCTTAATTTTGTAATAAAGTCAATTCATTGTAATCACAGTAGTTTTCCATAGTTTGTGGACATAGAAAAACTCTGCAGAAAATAATTGTCTTTTTTCTTTTATCATAATTCATTGTCATTGTGTGATGATATCAATCTTATTTATCAAGATTGATAAAAACTCATCATAGATATTTGATAGATTTCTAACAATTTTTGTATGGTGTGCTAGGAATGGTATGGTGCATTAAGAAATAGTAAAAAGAAAAGAAAAAAAAAGACTAGAGTTGGTGTAGCGGGCTCCCGGGCCACGTCGGGGTATTGGGTTTTGGTTGTTTGCAGCAGTGACAGGCGGTGAAGTCCCGAGACTTGAACAAAACATTGAAACTGACAAACATACATTGATTCACCTCATTCTCCCTCCTCTTTCTGGTTCTCTTGTCCATTATTCTCACTCACTCAATCACAATACAACACAAGAGTTCGAAAATGATACCGTCTCAGGTCGTAAACACATACCCATTGTCCAGCTACACCTTCGGCACCAAGGAGCCCAAGATGGAGAAAGATACCTCCGTCGCTGATCGTCTCGCTCGCATGAAAGTCAAGTTCGTATCATTCTATATCCCTCTCTCTTTTTCATTACTACTCTTTCGTTAGTTTTTTAGGATCTTTCGTTACCGGCTAGGTTACACAAATTCAACACATAAACCCTAGAAAAAACCCCAATCAAACTATATACTCTTTGAAACTTAAGTGAAGATTATGTACTAGATTTGTTATATAAACTGTTAGTTTCGTGCAGAAACCAAACCATTTTTTTACCTTTTTCACTCGCAAGAGCTGATCAAGAAATCAAGAACTTGAATTCACGTGGGCCCGAGTATTCCAGTTTTGGCGGTTCAAAACTGCAATTTTTGGAAGAAAGGTTTCAGAACTGATAACTGTATATTGACTCTTTTCATGAATCATACCCCTTTGGCAACTGTTTTTTTGGGTCCATACAACAGTTGGGGGTTTCTTGAACTGTTGAGCTTAATTCTCGGACATGCTTGCGATCTATGAAGTCGTGAGATGCTATCATCTACGACAAACCTTCACATTGATTCCGTTGGTACTTTCTTACAATTGTGAAGAACTCAGGTCCATCTTGCATTCTATAAAATGATCAAAGCTATAAAGATAGGTACTCTAGTCTGTTTGCGTTCATGTGCTCTCTTGAGTTGTTTTTCTCCTTATTCTCATCACATCCAAAACTATAAGAAATATACTTTTTATTTCATATGTTTGTAAAACAATATAAGGTGTATTTATAGGATGCAAGTGACAGTAAAATAGAGCTGGTATGAATATGTCATTCATAGCAAGCTTGCAAACCATGTCATCAAACTGTCCTTTGAAAGACTCTTTGTGAGAACATCTGACACTTGATTTTTGGTAGGCATGTAGGACAGATGAATCTAACCTCTGTCAATTTTTTAACTCCTGATCGTCTTCTAACTCCCCCAAATTCTTTCCTTGATTCCATCCCCATGCATATTAGTTAAGCTGCCTCTCTATGAGTTACTTCCTTACTACATTCCTTTTCTGATCTTGAACTTGGTTGTTTCCTTCATATGTAGCTATATTGACGATAGGTTAATCTCTTGACATTAATCCTATCTTTCATGGTAAGCAGCATTCCTTTCAATAGAGTTTGATTCCTCTCATAAACCATCTGCACCTTTTTTTTTCCATCATCTCTGCTAACCCTTCTATAACCTTTCTTCTCTCCTACTCTTTTCCTTCCCTTTCTTTTTTATTTATTGGCCAGTGACGTGGGGCTATTTCTTAATTTCTTTTTTAATTATTTTCTCTTGTTTCTCGGAAGTTTACATTTGAAGAGCATCAAAATCTTTCCTACAAATTAAATTAAAAGCTTCACTTTCGAGAGGGGCACTGGGAATGAAGAACTAAATTTTATAGACATAAATAGACATAGATTTGAATTTCAAGTACTCTTCTGATTGAATGTAGGAGCAAAATCAAATAGTGAAAAGAAAATGGGAAACTTTGTAGAACTGGCTTATTCTCATATAATCTTTTTACTTGTTCCTTTTCCTGTGTGCTGCTCAACTTATTTACTGAAACGGTTCTGAAATATAATTATTTCCTTTGTTTCCAAACTTCAGTTATATGAAAGAAGGAATGAGGACCAGCGTGGAAGGAATTTTACTGGTATGTTAACTGATTGTTCTCTTTCACTTCCTCTCCCCCCTGTTTTGTTAGGTTTAAAACTTTAAAAGTAACTTTACCATATTTTGCGGTATCAGGTACATGCATGAAATGATGTCATATCATCTTACCACGAGTCATCTAAATATCATTTAACTCCAAATCTCTCTTGATGGGTTGAACTTATAGTTTTCTTTAGTCTTCCTCTACTTCTAATTTTCTGGATATCATCCATATGATCTACACATGTATGCTCAGACTTCCTAAAACCAAAGTTTACCATATTTTCTACCACATGAGTTGCCTCTACTTTTTATTAATGAGATTATTTTTAATCCTATATTGTCTTGTGTGATCACTCATCCATTGTAGCATGGTTATCTCTCCAATGTTGATCTTATTTTCTTGCTGGCTTTTTACTGCTCAACATTAAATTTCATACATGACAAATCTTATAGTCGCGCACTTAAGTTTATCTATAGGTTTGAGTGGTAATTTTTCATCCCAAATTACATCTGAGACATTCCTCTATTTCATAAGACTTGTGGTATCTAATTTCCACCTCAAAACTAGTATTTGTCTGCCTCCTGCTGAATTTGCATTCTGTATGCTCTATTTGGTTGGGTCACTTATCTGAATTTGAAGGTTGATTATATATTCTCAACTATCATAACCTGTGTTGCATTGTTGTCCGATCCACTCCTCCATGCAACTTTAATATGTAGTACCTAGTTAACTAGATCTATAAAATTAGCATAGTGCATCTAGTTAATTTCTTTAGGTACCCTTCTAACATGTACAATAAGGTGAATTCATAAATTTAGTACATGCTTATATTATAGTTTGTAGAATGGAGGTGTGAGATTTATAGAGCAAAAATTACTTGCAGTAGAATTTTATAAGGCACGAAATTGACCACTAATTGTTGTTTTGGTTAGTAATGAATGATTTGTCCTTTATGCTCGTCCTGGACATTTAATTTTCTTACAAATTTCATTTACTTGTTCCCACAATGTATTTCCTACTATTTCTGTAAAGGAAATACTTCCCCTCTAGTTTTCTTGGAGATTCTGTTCATTGTCACGTCTCAGCTTTGTGCCTAAATTTTGTAGGTACAAGAGCACAATCATCCTCATATTCTTCTTTTGCAAATTGGAAACACATTTTGCAAACTCCCAGGTGGCCGTCTCAAGCCAGGAGAGAATGGTATTGTCTTTCTTCCTCGCTCCGAATATGGTGCTCTGAAAATAGGAACTTGTGATTATGCTAAATGTACTTTTTTTTGTGTGGTTGTTTGCAGAAATCGAGGGCTTGAAGAGAAAATTGACTAGCAAGCTTGGTGCCAATTCACCCGGTCTTGTACCTGACTGGCAGGTATGATCACATACCTTTTAGATGTTTGAACTTCGAAAGCTTACTAGCAAGCTTGTTTATATACACTTATTCTGCAGATAGGTGAATGTGTTGCAATCTGGTGGAGGCCAAATTTTGAAACCATAATGTATCCATACTGTCCTCCTCATATAACAAAACCCAAGGTAATTTGTGATGGGAATATCACTGATTGAAATTCTTGTATTGCTAGTTCTCTTGTTCTATGCTTACAACATCCATTAATATCTTTTATGCAGGAGTGCAAGAAGCTTTTCCTTGTTCACTTATCTGAGAGGGAATATTTTGCTGTACCAAAAAACCTGAAACTGCTTGCTGTTCCATTGTTTGAACTCTATGACAATGTTCAGGTAGGATATTAATCATTATGATTTTTGTTATGTTACTCGACTATCACAAATTAATGGAAACACATGCTCATAAACTGAAACAATTTTCTTTCAAGGGAATCATTTGAATCTACGATGTTATCCATTTTTTGGCGCATCTTAGGATTTTTCGTCTCATTATTGATTGGTCATAGAATTTAGTTTTGGAACTTATTCACATTATTATGCTGTGTCTTATGAATTTTGTGTATCAATTAATTGCAGAGATATGGACCAGTCATATCCACCATTCCTCAGCAACTTTCCAGATTCCAGTTTAAAATGATCACTAACTGACCGTAATCGGAAGCTTATATGCTCTGATAGAATACTGCTTTCCATTTTGTTATTTTAAGAACTAGGACTGATTTGATACATTACCCTAAACCCTAAACCCTATTATTATTGCATAATCTGGTTGGAGAACTATTTTTGAAGTGTGTTTCGAAATAGAATTGTAATTTGTGACACTGTTTGTATTAATTCATTGGATTGTGGGTTGATTTATCGCGATTATCAACCCAAAATGGGAAACAACTCATAGGCTAGATCAGAAAAAGGTGAAGTTGAAATCGATATGATGGATGAATATCGCAATCCCATGATCTGTTTCTCTGCCCTGCTCAAGTTCTGAATACCAGAATGGAAAGGTAAAAGAAATGATGAGTTTTGGTTGCATTGCCCATTTTTGGGAATTAATTGGGAAAGGAACCGAGAGACCAAAATTACATTGTAACACATCATAACCCTCATGTAACACAACATAACCCCATGTAACAAAATGTACAAAACCTGTTTTTTTTTACTGGGAAATGTACAAAACCAATATGTAAGACAATTTGAAAATTTTGTTATGAAATATGTTGCCGCCCAACGACATTGTATAATTCCTTTTGATTTATAGACAATTTGAAGGGCATGACACATTTTCACTTTTAACTTTTTGTATCCAAAATTTGAGGAGACTTCATTTGTTTACCCAAAAATCTGAGACGACTTCACTACTTACCCAAAATTCTGACTACCTCTATTATGACCTTCATATTGAATTAAAATTTGGGTTGATCACCATGCTAACCCTGAATCTAGACTGACCTCCATGATGATCCATTTGAATGTAAGTCTATTTGAATTTTAAATCAACATGGAGGCCGAATGTGCACTGACCTCCCTTCACCGAGCAGAGAGCGGAGACGGGAGACTTGCATAGGCTTTGAGAATCAAGTTAATTATGAGTTCTAATCATTTTAGGCAGAAAATAGAACTCACCTTAGATACTCTATTGTTTGTGTTTTTATAAAAGATGAAGGAGAATTATTTTTCTCTCAAACACATGGTAGTGGAAGACTTAATATTTATTTGAATTGACTTATTTGAGTTTATTTATTCTTATAAGTTTTGTAATGCTGTTTGAGAGATTTTATCAGCTTATGCTATTATTTATTTATTTTTTTGAATTTATATTTATAAAATCTTCAAGGTTGTGAAAACAACTTATATTATATAAAAAAACACTTTAAACATATTTTTATCTTTTATTATAAAAATAACTTATGCAAACTTATTCATAAATGTTTATTTATGTGAGTTTATTCATAAACACTTATTTTAATAAACAGTTGTAATATATCCTGCCAATGCAAATAATATTGTTTATCAAAAGAGACTCTTACTACTCTCATAAGTGAAACATATGGGGATGGGTGGTTTAGTCATTCCAATTTGTGGCACATGTTTTTTTATGACTATTGATATGAGGTTGCATGTAATAAAATTGAGTATGATTGTTGATAACACGAAAACGTATCGTATATTCGGTTCGATTAGCATAAATGATGTTATTATTTTCTGTTAATTATGTTATATTATGTTAGTATTTTAAGTGTTTTTCAAGTATTTACATTTCACAAGACTCGCATAAGAAAAGAGGAAGAAATGACAGAAATGAGTGACTCTGTAGCAGAAAACAAAAGAAATTGTATCAGAGGACTGTGACGGTCGTCATAGTCTCCTGCCGGTCGCCACGCCTTGGGATTATGTGTGTCCCTCGGCACACATGTGTTACGGTCGCCACAACTTTGACTTGTGTGTCCCACGACACGCAAGGCATGTCCCACGACACACAAGGCATGTTCCTCGCCACAGTTTTTAATGAACGTGTTCTCATCTACGTTTGTAACAAAGCTCATGTATTCTCTCAAACAGAACAAACTGAGTCCGTATTATGCTCCACTCCATGATGACCACGTTCCAGGACTATTTGGAAAAGCCGAGTCTTCCGATTGCCACACAATTCCTAAATCTTCTCCAACGGAAGTTACAAGTATATTATAAAAAGGAAGCAACCAAGCAGCAAAAAGGTCTCCCACGCTTTTGTTCAACTTTCTCATACAGAGTCATCGTTTTAGAAATTTTAAGCAGATAATTGCCCATCCGAATTAGCAATAGTTTTCCACATCGGAGAACTATTGCACAAGTAGATTTTATTCACAACTTTCAGATTTTGTTTTAGTTTATATTTTCTTTCTGTATTCAAGTTATTATTTTCCGCAAGCAAATCCTGCCGACATATTGTAGAGGATTGCACTTGGTACTATAAGTATAGTATTAATTTCAGTTTTCTTTTATTCATTCCAGGTTCTTATTTCATTTATATATACTACTTTTACTTAATAATCATTATGATGTTTTGTTTGTTTACTGTAATTTTGTGTTGGTACTCAATAACATGTTTGGCTAATTTCCATGATACCAGTATGTAAGGTCGTAGAATCAAAGGGGTTTAGTAATAAATTGACATAAACTTTTATAAAATACTTTTATGGTTTGGTTTCCAACATTTAATATCAAAATTGTATTGTTACGAGAGTAAAAGGCAAACGAAGGTTAAAATCTATATAACGAGAGTTTGAGATTTTAACCGGATAGTGGTAATTGAACATTAATTTTAAATACAGCGAGAACAATTTAGGATTGATTAGATTCTATTTGTTTTTAAAAAGTATTTTTAGATTATAAATGAGAGTGAGAGCAAGCATTTAAGTTTAATAATATAGTTCGAATCAATAATCACGAGAGTGTGAGATAAATGTTTTTAAATTGATAGTTTATACTAAAATAGTGTTTTGAATACTCAAAGCTATGCCAATGACTTACTGAATCCCCAAAGTCTGACGTACTACATACCGATGTCCCATTATCGAATATTTTATTTAAATCTAAGTTTATTTTCGTCTTACTCAAAACACAAGATTAATTATTAGCCTTAGCTTTACACCATGACTTTAGATAGCAGTAATTCTTATTAGTCCTTGTGGGTTCAACATCTTTTAAAACTACGCGATTAGACTGTGCACTTGCAGTCACTACACCCGATAGACTCATAAAGTCACGATCATGTTTTTGGCGCCATTGTCGGGGATTGATTTAGTCGGTATTGTGATTCCTTTGTTATGCAGTATAGGCTAAGGCAACAAATTTTATTTCCTTTTATCTGTTGATTGTATGCCAAAGACCCGCTCTCAAGGCGAAGAATTAGAGCAACCAATCGACGAGGTCGAGCGTTTTATTAGTATAAGGCGCCTAATTAGAGAATACCAAATTAAGTAAAATCTTCCCAAATTTAATCCTTCGAACTTATCTCTTCCTGAACCAAGAATGGTTGAAGGACCCCAAAATCGTCCTTTGAATGATTATGCTGCCCCATCGTAGGAGGAACCTCACAACAACATTGCTGCCCCCACTATCGCTCGGAACGATTTCAAGTTGAAACCTTCGTTACTACAAGCTGTCCAACAAAATCAGTTTTTGGGATGTCCCACGGACGACCCAAACTTACATTTGTCCGTGTTTGTGCAGTATGCAGACATAGTAAAAGCAAATGGTGTCAACCCCGAAGCAATAAGACTACGTCTTTTCCCTTTCTCATTACGAGATAGAACTAAAGCTTAGCTCCAGTCTCTGCCATCCAACTCTGTTACCACATGGAACGAGTTGGAGAAAGTTTTTCTAGCACGATAATTTTCGCCAAGTAAGACGACAATGCTAAGAGCCAATATAAATGGTTTTAAACAAAAGGAAAGCAAATCTCTTTTCGAAGCATGGGAAAGATACAAAGACATGTTGCGACTTTGTCCACATCACGGTCTAGAAGAATGACTGATCATCCACACCTTTTACAATGGTCTCTTGTATAACACAAGACTAACGATTGACGCTGCAGCTGGCGGCGCATTGATGGATAAACCTTATCATGACACTTATCAGCTTATCAAAAGTATGGCTCAAAATCATTACCAGTGGGGAAGCGATAAAACCATTATGGAGAAACCTTAAACGAAAGGCGGTATGTACGAAGTTAGCAGTTTCGACCAAGTTAACATTGAGGTAGAAGATCTTACCCAAAAGATAGAAAACTTGATCATAACTCCCGCAACCACCGTGGCTGTAGTAGCTCCAACCTGCGATTTATACGGACTTCACGCCGATGCTGCACATGAATGTCCACTTTTAACATGAGTATCAGCTAACAAGTGAATTATGCTCAAGGAAACCCATACGAAAATACCTATAATCCTACCTGGAAGAACAATCCACACTTTTTGTACAAGAACAACAATGCATTATATGCACCTGGGCAAGCTCCTACTACACCACCAGGATACCAGAAAGCCTCCCAAATTACTCCAAATATTCCTAGGAAATCCAATATAGAGATTATGATAGAAAACTTTGTAGCCACTCAAGCTCAATAAAACAAATATTTTCTAAATCAAAACATGCACACTAGTGAACAACTAAAGAAACTATCAAGCAAGGTTGACGCCCTAGCCACTCATAACAAAATGCTTGAAACACATATCTCTCAAGTGGCTCAACACCAAGTAGCTACAACTACTCCAGCTGACACCTTTCCTGGCCAACCACAACCAAATCCGAAAGGTCATGCTAATGCTATAATACTTCAGAATGGAACGAAAGTAGATGGACCAACTAACTCAAGAACCAAAAATCCAGCCATGTACCAGGGTACTGGTAAACCAAATGAGATGGAAGACGGACCAAAAGAAGATGAGAAGGGAGATGAAAGCGCAAAGGCAAAAGAGAGAAAAACCCTATGTACCTCCACCACCGTACAAACCACCGATACCATACCCTCAACGGTTAGCTAAATCTAAAAATATAGGGCAATTTAAGAAATTCGTTGAACTTCTGAAACAACTGAATATCACTATACCTTTTACAGAAGCCATCATGTAAATTCCCTCATATGCTAAGTTACTTAAAGAATTCTTATCCAATAAGAAAAATATCGAGGAGAATGAAACCTTTATGCTTACTGCATAGTGTAGCGCTATAATCCAAAACAACATGTCCCCTAAGCTGAAAGACCTTGGTAGTTTTTCCATGCCATGTGTAATCGGAAAATTCGTCATAGACAAAGCTCTATGCGACTTGGGAGCCAGTATTAGTCTAGTGCCTTTAACAATATGCAAAAGAATAAATATGGGAGAATTGAGACCAACAAGAATGTCCATATAACTAGCTGATTGTTCAGCGAAGTTTCGTTTAGGAATGCTCAAAAATGTTCTTGTATGTATTGGACAATTCAATACCCCCACTGATTTCATTATTATGGATATAAAGGAAGACTCCAACATCCCTATTATATTAGGAAGACCATTCCTCGCCACCGCCAGAGCCACCATAGATGTAAAAAAAGGTAAACTCACATTTGAGGTTGGCGAAGAAAAAGTCGAATTCATTCCCTCCAATTCTTCAAGGCACCAGATATAGATGATTCATGCTATTTCTTGGATGTCATTGATAAGTGCGTTAAAGAAATGGAAAAACAAAAGACCAAATATTCAAAAGCTTTAAAAATTACAATACCTCCCATCCTTGAAGACGATAATTGGTGTGATGAATACAAAGATGACAATCTAAATGAATGTCTCACGCTAACTCCTGACCCT